CTTGAGCTTTACGTGGCATTCCAGAGATCACTGTCCAAAAAATAATGGATGGATGGGACCACATCAAAGATTAAATATGTTTTGAATTAATTTACATATAAATGTAATTAGAATTAATCATATTTGATTTTTAAAAAGAATAGTTACTTTCCAGTCATGCATTTAATAATTTTCCTTTCTATAATTTTAGAAGTCACAAGTTAATATAAACTTTTGGAGATCTCCAGGGATTGCACCCAAGACTTTCAGGGGCTACCTATGAATCTGAGTTCTCAGACTGTGAAGAATGAGATTCTCTGACTTCTGGTTGATCAAAGAGCCTATTGAAGTCAAAGGAATCACAACAACTTCAGCCTGTAGATATGGACTGCTCTCTTTTTGTTAGTTGCCATTATAACTGAGCTCGAGGATGTATATAATGTTCCCTCTCTCAAATTCTTGCTCTTTCTCTCTGCTAAGTATTAAAATATCTACTCAATTAGATCTATTTTCTATGTCTTATAAATCTTTATTTTAGTAAGGCAGTAAAGGATGACCACCTTTGACTCACAATAATGGGAATCTTTGATTTCTCTAGACCTTTTTCTCTTGAACTCCCCCTCCCCCCATGGCTTAGGCCACCACTCCATCGTTGCAGGCAGCACACTGGCTGGAAGTTGAAGCCCCTTCAGTGGGGAAGACCCCACCCCCACATTGGGAGAAACCTGTTGTCTCCTTAATACCTCTGACACTGAGAAAGGCAGAATGAAGGGATGAGATGCCCTCTTCCAACTTCTCTTCAATGGGCTTCCAGGCTGAATGGGGCAGGCAAGGAGCCAAGGAAATTAAAAAAGCAAACAAACTCTGCCCCTCCTGGAAGCCCCCTAGGGGTGCCACACCACCACTACGGTGCTGCCCGCTCTTCAACCACTGGTTCCTTTTTCCTTACTGCCTCTTTTGTCTGACCTTGGGCTTTCTGGGCTTCATCAGTAAGGGCCCTTCCTCCACCTCTCCCCATCTTTCCTCTCCTCCCTTGCACTCAAGTGATCTTCCCCAAAACAAGCAGTAGGCAGCTTGCCCAGATGAAAATGGGGACTCTTACCTGCTTCTTTAAAAGGAGTGGTCACCTAAAGCTAATATCCAAGGAAGAAAGCTCACCTTATACAACTGAACACAGCAAGGCAGTAATTTACATCTGAGAAAAGCTTGGCAGCTTCTGGATTTGGCCATGTTGGCTAATTCATGGGCAAATACACTGTGCAAATCCAGAAAAGTGACTTAGCCTAGTCACCAAGTTAATTGTGCCATGTGAACACAGCCTAGGTGTTTGCAGAAGGGCTTATATTGATGCAGACATGTCTATTTGTGTGGGCACTCAGATGAAGAAGCTTTCAGGTGCTTTTCCTTCATGAGGCATCTACTTGCCTACCTTACCTGCCAACCTACCTGTCTACCTATCAGTGTGCCCTCAAGTTTATTCATTCGGCCGTGCTTGGGGTTGCCCTGAAGCCTCAGTGGGGCAACCTGCGATTCGACCCCACATCTGCTGATCTGCACATGGGAAAGCGGTTGCCCCCTTCGGGTCCCTGGAAGTCCAAGGGAAAAAGCCCCGAATTCTTTCAGTTGTTTCCCCCGCCGTCAAAGGAGGACGGGAAAACCTTCTCAACTGAACCTGAGGCTGGCGAAGCGACCGACCCTCCCCGCATCGAGAGACGCACAGTGTGCGCAGGCCGGCCGCGGGGTATTGAAGCTATGCGAGGAACGCGGAGGGAGCGCTGTTCTGAGTAACAAAGGCTCCGGCCTGGAGCGAGCCCCCTGCGATCCAATGTCACGGCGGAGCCCGGAGAGCCCGCTAGGGAAGTCAGGAAAGGCCTCTGCTCTCTTTTCCCAGGGTGATCAGCTAAATATAGGCCGCCGGCCTGACTCTGGCCCCAACCCCCGGACCGTTTGCTGTTTGTGTAAAAAACGATTAGCGAGACACAACTGTGAAGCGCCGCGGGACTTTAATGGCGGCGGAGGCGCAGTCCTCCCCCCCTCCCCCGGCCTTGCTTGCCTTGTAAAAAGGAAATTCGGTAACCCGGAGGGGCGGAGGGGGGCTTGGGCAAGGGAGGGCGCGGGGCGGGGCGCGGGAGACGGCGGGGGGGGGGTGCTTGTAGGGGGCTGGGGGGCGCGCGGGGG